TTTTAATCTGCTCAACATCAAGATGGCCACCCCCCCATAAAAACATGTCAAAAACGCTAAACACACCACAGAAACAGATCAAACGCAAACAGCATAGGTGTGAATCTAGCCTAAACCAGGCTAGAGCAAACAGATTAGGACTTCTAGGACTAATTGGTTTTCCCCGATATCAGTAACAGCATGCTTGTTCTAGGTGAGCAACTTGGGCTGGCCATACATTATACAATTTCCTTTAGATTTATATTCAACTATATAGTGCAAAGGCCTGCCTGCTTGTATACTAATTGGAAGTGTTTAGGTTTGACCTCATATTATATGGTTTTGGTAAATCTAAGGAAAACTGTACAAGAAAATTGTATAATGAATGGTCAGCTTTAGGTGAGGCAGTCAGACAATTGTCATTTTTAAGGAGATGTCAGCAATGGTAGCTTTGCTTTTTTAAGAACAACTTTCCAAGACCTGGTACTTCCCAATAGGTCTGCTTTTTAAATACAAAACCACAAGCTTGTCCACCATGGATACCACACAAGCAGTGGAGTCTGTATGCTATTAAGTAGACTGGTTTTCAGTGTCTGCATCTTCTCACTCTATACCCAGTGCTTGGTGAATGGTCCCATCATGTGCAAGAAAATATCCAGTAAGTGTACAGGGAATCCTGATATGCCATGCAGCAAAATGATGTGGAATGAGAAGGATCCATCTAATGTCTAGCAGAGTGACAGTGTTTATAAAATGTTCAAATTTCTCAGGAATCCCACCTTACTAAAAAGAGCTGGTAGCAATGTGTTGTAGAGGAAAGCCCTGGCAGCACCCCTCCAATCAAAAGCCGTTTAGGTTAAGATGCTAGAATTAGAACCTGTGATGGCAAAAATACACTGATTGCCACACTGCTAACCTCTGAAAATGTAATACTGATCCAATGGGTCAAACGTGTGTTATGCCTTGAAACAAATATGCAGATAAAGGACTGCATACAAAATGTATCTAGGTCATGGTATACATTGTAATAGGTGGTCATGTTCAACTGGACAACTTAATCACTTCTTTAGTTTTAATGAGTACTGGTAAGATCAGTGCCAAGAAAAGGTTAAGTGTGGAAGACTATCCATCTTTAACCTTTTTTGCAAACTCCAAGCGGACTTTCATGCTTTTTACAGGGAGGAGAGACTTCTGTCTAGCCACTCTGCCATAAAGCCCAGAATAATGGAGGACTGCAGCGATTGTTGACCCTTTGAAACTTTGTCCCACCTCCACACAGGATCTCTGGAGCTCAGTCAGAGTGACCATCGGGTTCTTGGTCACCTCTTATCAAGGCACTTCTCTCCGATTACTCAGTTTGGCTGGTTGACCAGCTCTTGAAAGAGTCCTGGTTGTGCCAAATTTATTCCATTTGAGAATTATGGAGGTCACTGTGCTCTTGTGAACCTTCAGTGCAGAATAACGTTTTTGTACCCTTCTCCAAATCTGTACATTGCAATAATCCTGTCTGAGCTCTGCAGGCAGTTCCTTTGACCCCATGGCTTTTGCTTGGATACAGTATGCATTTTCAGCTGTGAGGCCTTTTATAGAGAGGCATGTGCCTTTCCAAATCATGCCCAATCAATTTACTTTACCACAGGTGACTCCGATCAAGATGTAGAAACATCTTACCCCTGGTTCACATATATACAGCCACGCGGGCCACGTTTTGCACGGGCACAAGCGCCCATTCATTTGAATGGACTCCCGTGCCACGCAGGGAAAAAGTCCCTGCACTTCTTTGGAAAACGCAGCCCGCACGGGAACCTTGGTTCCCAGTGCAGTTTCAAGTGCGGGCGGCGTGCCATTAGAACGAATGGCACCCACGGGTCTGCATTTCTGTGCTGATCCGCAGCGGCACCACCAGCATATATGTGAACTTAGGGTTAGCAAAGATCAAAAGAAATGGAAGGCACCTGAGCTAAATTTCAAGTGTTGTTGCAAAGGGTCTGAATACTTATGCCAATGTGAGATTTCAGCTTTTCCTTTCATACATTTGCAACCATTTCTAAAATTCTGTTTTCACTTTGTCATTATGGGGTACCGAGTGTAGATTAATGAGAAACAATGAATTTAAAAAAACTGTAGTATCAGGCTGCAACATAAAATTGAATAAAAGTGATGGGGATCTGAATACTTTATGCGAGGATTTGTTCACAACATAATGCATTAAGCAAAGTATGCTGCTGTGTGTTCTCAGATGTGCTACATTTTTGACAGATCCCAATTAGTTTCTTTGAATGAGGACTGCAAGACAATATACCCAAAAATGCAGCGCATTAGGTTTTTTTCTCTCATAACATGGCATGATAGCACGTATAGGACAGATAGCTCCATATGAAAACACTGGTAACTGCATTTGCCTGCATTCGGTTTGTATTGCAAGATGCAGAGTGTGAACAAACACATAACAAATGACCTAAAATCAAGAGGCATTTGATTTTCAATGCTTAAATTCTCGATCCTACAAATATAAGTGCTGCACTACAAGTAGGCTTTTCTCTTTTCACCATTAACTCTTCTGAACAGCTCAATTCAATACAGCAGCATCTTAGACAACTAACAGTACAATGAAGCTCACAAACTAGCAGACATGCAGATCTAATTAGGAGTGTGTGGCTGGTGAGGTTTGGATGCACACTCATGCAATCACTGTACCTGTTGATCATTTCTGAAGGAAGATTCCAAGAAAGTGTGAAACAAAAGTAGGAGATAATCAGACAAAATGGTCCCAACTAGTAATGCTGAATAATTGGTAGGCAAGTCATGCAGTATGACTACTACAGGTTACTACCTCTAAGGCCTCAAGCACACTGGACGTTTCTTTATCTGTCCTAGACGCCTTTACTCCTGGCAGCAGCATTTTGGCGTAAAACAAAATGCTTGTAAAAGTGTTTAACGCATTTAGCTGCATCAAGTATTTGGGCGTAAATCATTTCAATGGCCAGAATAGTTATCTTGGATACTGAAATGAATGCTAAAGCGCTAAAACGCACCTAGCGTTAAAAGTGGTGGTACAGGCTGAAGGTTGTTTACCTTCACGCATTCTATGCATGAAGTTAAAAACCTGTGTGTTGCTCCCCCTACAGCCCTATTACTTACCTAAGCACCCTCTCAATCCAGCGATGTGCATGGGAGCCTCAGCTGTCCCTGGTCTCTCTCCTCATAGGTTGAGAGCAGTGAAAGCCAATCACAGTCAGTGAGTCAATGAGGAGAGCGTGGGGGCAGGGTCAAGCTGTGGCTCTATGTGTCTTATGGACACAGAGCGGGGCTCGGGAGCAAGAACGCACCAGTGCCCCCATAGCAAACAGCTTGCTATCGGGGGCACTGATCAAGGGGGAGGGAGCCAGGAGCTCCGGCTGGGGAGCTGAGAAGAGCAGGGTCAGGGTTGCTCCATGCAAAACCACTGCACAGAGAAAGTATAACATGTTTGCTATTAAACAAAAACCCCCCAAAGCTTAAATACTTTAATGCGCGTTTACACGCGTCAATTGTTTTTCCCTGCCAAAATGCCGCTGCTCCTGGACACAATGGCAGTGTTTTTTTTTCTGCCTCAACTCCTCTAAAAGCCTATGTGTGCATGGGCACATAGGCTAAGATGTTGGGGTGTTTAGAAGGGCAGAAAAAAACCCCACACAAACACACCATGACAGATGTCATTAAAAGCAGCAATAACGCCCAGTGTGCACGAAGCCTACTACGTCCAAGGTTCAGTTATTTATGATTGGCTTTTAAAGCAGATCTACCATATGAACATGACCCATTATTTGCACTGTAACCTTCATAAAACCAGTGTTGTCACAGAGTATTAGAAATCTTACTTTCAAAAATTTGTTATGACATGGCAAAGTTACAGAACCTTCCAATTCAGGCAGTCTCAAGCTCATGGTGCATGCTGGGAGTGCCAGGGACATCTTGTAAGCAGTGTGAGCATGTTCTGTGCCAGAAAATGGACTGTTCATGTTCTAATGTAGTAATTAACATTTTCATCTGCAGATTCATGAAGATGGCTGAAGGGCCAGTTCACACCAAAATGTGATGCAGGAAAAGCATGTTTTGTGCACATTTCTCGCACGACATGATAAACATGCCACCCTTGCGAGAGCGTGCGGGTACCAATTGTTAATGGCACCCCCATACACAAAAGTTTGTAGCCACCAAATCGCATGGTACCATAGTTCCATGCAGGTTGGTGCAGTGCAGTCTAAAAAAGTAGTGCTCGTACAACTTTTTCCATGTTCCAATGCGTTCTGCAACTCATTCAAATGAATGGGCTGTGATAGTGGACTACATGGAACACAAGTGTCCTGGTTTGAACTCGTCCTAAATGTTTAGCATGAAATAAAACTGCAAAAGGTTATATTAAATAAATAAAAAAAAAAAAAAAAAAAAAAAAGACAGCAACACTGGTTTACCTATAAGCAATGACTGAAAATGCTATATTGCCATATGTATTAAATCTGCTTTAAAAACAAGAATGAACATATTACTTCCAACCAAATAACTGAGCATGGAGTTTGTGCCAATCTCTTTTTTCACCAAGTCTACATGTCAAGTCATGAGATTGTCAGGAAAGTATGGTATGATGAAGATGTATGCAATGGATTCTACTGGATATGCCAATACAATAAAAGGTATTCTGTAAACAGAACTGCTATTTGTATCCATTAACTTATATGGGGAAAAAGCACTTCAGAAGCATTCTGCCTCTGCAAACTATCAGGGCAGGAATATGTAGCACAAAAGCAGGTGTATTTAAAATGAGACCTCATCAGTGGCAAACGATTTCCTGAATATCCTGACAACCAACAGTGGTTTTTTACAAAGGTTTGAAAATAATTTCTGCCATGCTACCAAAAACCTCTCTCTACCAAAACGTTTTACCTTCTGTACTCCAAAACATTGTGAGAATGGAAATGAGAGAGACATGATGATTACTGATGCAGAACTGCAACACATTTAAGGATGTTTCCATTGCAGCTTCATATTCTTACCTTTTTACCAGCACCCACGTTTGCTTTGGCCGTGCCCCTGACTTTCTTCATTCTGTTCTTCCTTTCTTTACGCTGTTTTCTGGAAGTCTTTTTCTTCTCATATAAGCCATGCTTTAAAAGAAAGAAGTCTGTGTTTACAAGGGCAGATACCATAAAATAACCTACACACGCATGCACGCGCACACACGCTGAAGGGCCTAGTATTGTCTTGCGCAATAAAATATCCAAGGGGGACTCCCCGACGGCTCCCTTGTTTGTAGTAAATAGCTTGCATTCTGACAACTACTTCCCAACAGGAAAAATGCTTCACCTGTCACTTCTACCAAAATTTGTTTTACATGTCAAATAACTGAACTGCCCCCAGTAGTTACCCTGGCAAGTCTGTGTTTGGGCTCGTTTTTCTTTGCATAGTCCAGGGAATCGTAGATCATGCCAAAACCGGTAGTTTTGCCACCTCCAAAATGAGTCCTAAAGCCAAATACAAAGATCACATCTGGGGTAGTCTTGTACATTTTGGCCAGCTTCTCCCTGATTTCAGTCTTGGGGACAGTGGCTTTTCCAGGATGAAGGACATCTATGACCTGGAAAGCAAAACAAAAATTAGTAGGCAGACATTTTGCTATGCAAAAGAAACACAGGTGTTCAGAAAGTACAAAACCTTGAGTTCAGAAAAATCCAATTAAACAACAATGGTAATCCCATATAACATCGCAATACATCTGATAACTGTGCATCTGAAATCGTGTTAGTTAAAGTGTTACTAAACCCAGGACCCTGCATTCACTATATCAGGTCTCCCACAGTACACACAACATGGAAATGCAATTATTTTAGTAAATATAAACTACTAAATAAATTTTCTCATCAGCAATTAGAGCAGTCTTGTGACTTCTATGAGTGTCAAACGGAGCACTGGTTAAACCTTATAGGAGGAGTTTTCATTCTGTTCTAGGAAGATGCAGGACCTCTGACCCCTGGATAGTGCCTATTGGCCCTGTGCTGATCACATGCACTCTCCCCCCCCCCCCAAAAAAAAAAAACTCTAGCAATACACACCAAACTGAGCATGTGCAGAGTGACTTCTGGTCTTATCAGGAGATAAGAGGGTGGCACTGGAAGAAGGAGAGGATCAGAGAAGTCAGGCTCAAACAATGCAGAGGACTAACCCCTAAGGTTCCACAGTGAATATAATAAGCATGCTTTACAGCATACACAGACTGATTTTACTGTTGTGGGTATAGTAACACTTTAATTCTATTAAGAAGTTATCAAGTTTGATATGGTTATATACACGACATGCTCAATACAAAACATCAGTTTTCAAATACTTACCATCTGCTTCCTCTGAAGCAGTCTGTTGGTCATAAACTTCCTAGTTCTAATAGTGACGCTGTCGTTCTGGAAATGAATTAAAACAAAAAGGGTCACACATTTAGGACAAAACAACCAAATAATCCTTCTGCAAAAACACAAAGTTTGGACAAGCACAAGACATGTCCCAGTACACAGCCAAACCTAGCGCCATCATGCTACCGATTAACAGTTCCCACTACACTGCTTTATAATTTGATGTCAACCACGCTCATACCTTTAAAAGCACATGGTACCGCTGACCAGAACGGACACTTGCGGCATGGTAAAAGGCAGCAGTTTACTGTGCAGAAATTGTGAACCAGTCATTACCATTATTCCATCTAAATATTAAAGATTCAGCCCAACTAACATTTTTTATTAGAGTAGAAGTAGATGCTGGTGAACTTCGTCACCCACTGGCTTCTTACATATACGATATTGCCAAAAGTATTGGGACGCCTGATTTCCACGCACATGAACTTTAATGGCATCCCAGTCTCAGTTCGTAGGGTTCAGTATTGAGTTGGCCCACCCTTTGCAGCTATAACAGCTTCAACTCTTCTGGGAAGGCTGTCCACAAGGTTTAGGAGTGTGTCTATGGGAATGTTTGACCATTCTTCTAGAAGTGCATTTGTGAGGTCAGGCACTGATGTCAGATGAAAAGGCCTGGCTCACAGTCTCCGCTCTAGTTCATCCCAAAGGTGTTCGATCACATTAAGGTCAGGACTGTGCAGGCCAGTCAATTCCTCCACCCCAAACTCGCTCATCCATGTCTTTACGGACCTTGCTTTGTGCACTGGTGCGCAGTCATGTTGGAACCGAAAGGGGCCATTCCCAAACTGTTCCCACAAAGTTGGGAGTATGAAATTGTCCAAAATGTCTTGGTATGCTGACGCCTTAAGAGTTCCCATCACTGGAACTAAGGGGCCAAGCCCAACCCCTGAAAAACAACCCAACACCATGATCCCTCCTCCACCAAACTTACACTTGGCACAATGCAGTCAGGCAAGTACCGTTCTCCTGGCAACCACCAAAGACAGACATGTCCATTAGATTGCCAGACAGAAGCGTGATTGGTCACTCCAGAGAACACGTCTCCACTGCTATAGTGCTTTACACCACTGCATCTAACACTTTGCATTGCACTTGGTAAAGTAAGTCTTGGATGCAGCTGCTCGGCCATGGAAACCCATTCCATGAAGCTCTCTATGCACTGTTGTGCCAATCTGAAGGCCACACAAAATTTGGAGGTCTTTAGCTATTGACTCCGCAGACATTTGGCGATTTCTGCGCACTTCAGCATGCATTGACCCTACTCTATCATTTTACGTGACCTACCACTTCTTGGCCTACTTGCTGTTCCCAGCTTCTTCCATTTTGTTATACTACCACCAACAGTTGACTGTGGAGTATTTAGTAGAAAGGAAATTTCAAGGATGGACTTATAGCACAGGTTTGCAGAAGCAGTCTGTATGCCTAGGTGCTTGATTTTATACACCGGTGGCCATTGAGGTGATTGGAACACCTGAATCCAATAATTTGGAGGGATGTCCCAATACTTTTGGCAATAGTGTATCTCAGGGAATACAGCAGCAAGGATCAGAGTCCTACCTTTCCACCATATGGCTTTCACTTACTGGGAAACAATATAGCTCATTTTTTTAAGCATATAAAAGGAAAAAGTAAAGCTTAAGAGTTTGCGTTTGTATTTTAAAAAACCTTGTTTTCATGAATAGCCTGTAATTATATATTTTCTTGGAGACATTTACGTGGGATTATCCTTGAACACATACACAGCAAATCCAGCATTGTTCTGCTGTGATCAGTTGCTACACACCAAGTCCTGCATTGCCGCTTTTTTTTTTTTTGTTTAACAGCCTCCTACCCGCCATATAAAGTAATGATGGGCACAAGGTGGTTCTCTCGTTCTGGGAGGACGTCATATGATGTCCTCCCATTCTAACCGCGCATGCGCGGATCTGGTAGCACGCAGCGAGGCGATCAGTGAAATCAACGGAAAGAGCTGAAAGATGCTGGCTCGGTCAGGTGATCAGCTGTATCCAATAACAGCAGCTGATCGCATGTAAATAGGGAAATGCCGATTATCGGCATTTCTCTCCTCACGAGCTGTCACACTGACAGCTCGAGAGGAGCTGAGAGCCGGTAATCAGCATTCCTCAGACGGGACATGTACACTGATCATTAGGGCACTGATGATCAGTGTAGCCCCAGCAGTGCCACCTGTCAGTGCTCATCCATGCCACCTGCCAGTGCCCATCAGTGCCTACCAGTGCACATCAATGCCCTATCTGAGCTGCCTTTCAGTGCCATATATGAGTGCTGCCTTTCAGTGCCCATCAGTGATGCCTGTCAATGCCCATTAGTGCCACCTATCAGTGCCCATCACTGCAGCCTCATTAGCGCACATCAGTGAAGAAGAAAAATCACTTATTTACAAAGTTTTATAACAAAAATTAAGAAAAAATGTTTGCTTTTTTTTCAAAATTTTCAGTGGTTTTTGGTTTGTTTAGCAAAAAATAAAAAACCCCAGAGGTGACTAAATACCACCAAAAGAAAGCAGTCTCAAAAAAATGAGAAAACATTCATATGGGTACAGTGTTGCATGACCGCGCAATTGTCATTCAAAGTGCGACAGCGCTGAAAGCGTAAAATTGGCCTGGGCAGGAAGGGGGTATAAGTGCCCTGTAGGCAAGTGGTTAAACACACATCAGGAGCTGGCCGTCTCTTCCTTGTACTTGCAGCCACCCCCCAATGACACCGCCAGGTTCTTCCTATAGCACTGTGTGGACTGATGCTTCCTGGGATATGTGAAGGGGAAGTCCCAAGAGCAGAATTCATCTTATTCTTGCTTAAGCAAGAATGCAGGAAAGGGGTAGGATCGAATATGAAACAAGATAAGAAAAAAAAGAAGTTTTTTTAAGCCAGCTATACATGGATCAAATTCAGCTGGCTCAGCAGGGACTGGTCAAGATTCGATCCATGTATGGGCAGGCTGATAGGATTGACTTGGGCACAACCAGTCTGTCAGATTTTTCTACATTTGATTACTGCCAGCAGCTATAGCTGCTAACAGTAATCATTGTGTGCTGCCCGCCAGGAAGGCTCCCTGTGTACCTCCCACTAGCAGAATGCAATGCTGCGGGAGGCATTCCCCCATCAACACAGATTGTGTGACAGGGGAATCTAGCAATCTTCTTTCCTTCTACCCGTTCTGGACAATTTGGATTTATACCCAAAGAGATTCAGGCTGGACTTTTCATGTAAGTGTAACATATACTTGCTGGTGCCTGCGTACACCATTCATCTCATCTTTGTCGTCAGGGAAAGGAGGCTTAATTATTTATCTGCCTGCTGACCAGTCAGGTACCTGGTATGTCACTGGACTCAATGGTTGTACTGGAATGATGCCTGCAGCTGCCTAGTCCCATTACGTATTTTTTAGAGCTAACGGTCAGCATCTTAGGGTCTTATTGACTCCAGATTCCTCCATAAAGAGTACCCGTCACATGCTTATTGCTGTTATAAGAGAAATTTACATTAATCCCTAGTTCAAACCAGTGCAACTTGTCATGCGATTTGACAGATCCAAAACACATGACAAGTCACAGCCTATTGTCGGCAATGGAACCATTCAGCTTTGCAGTGCTGCACGAATTTGAAAAAGAAAAAAAAAAAAAGGTTCCTGCGCATTTTTTTGCAAGTTCAGGTGCGACTTGCATAGACATCTGCGCATGAAGTCGCACAGATGTCAGGTAAGTGGCACCTCAAATCTTACTGACATGCAGCTTTGAAATTGCACAACTTTGAGTAAAGTAGCAAGACTATAAAGTCAAATTCAGTGTGAACCAGAGCTTACACAGCAATAAAAGCAACACTTTTTTTTTTTAAGTGACATTGTAAAAATAAGTTCCCCTTGCTTGTGTGCAAAGGTGAACACACCCATCAGTCCTGCACACAAACAGGTACGATTATCCCACATGTGAGGTATTGGCGTGAGTGTCAGATCATGGGTTGTAATTCTCGCACCTCCTCTATAAAGGCTTTTCAAGCGTTGTCTATGGATAATAAAATTTACATTGTTTGTTGCCATACCATGGGCATGCACAATTTTAACATATGACATGTTTGGTATCTATTTGCTTGGCATAACAGCCATATTTTATTAAAAAATGTGGGTTAAGTATTGTGAGGTTTTTTTTTTTGCATTAAACTGGAACTGCACTGCATCTGAGCACCACATAAAATGCGACATAATTCATTTTTAATATTCAAAACAAACTCCTCCATCCATCTATGTCTCCATGCTTTAGTTTGCTGAGAATTCATTCTGAAAAACACCTCCTGGCAATTCTGGTAGTGGCCATATAAAATAAGGGCAAATAATTAGCAGTAATCCATCTACCCTTGGCTCAGGCATTGGCTGAGAACCCTCCCTCCCCTCCTGAAGACTCATGTGATGTATGACATCATTTGCCTAGGCATGAGAACCAGGAAGTAAACTAAGGAATACAAAAAAAAAAAAAAAGTTAAACACAAGTACATTATACACTGCTCAAAAAATTAAAGGAACACTTTTCAATCAGAGTATAGGATCAGTAAATTAAACTCCTGGGATATTGATCTGGTCAGTTAAGCAGCAGAGGGGGTTGTTAATCAGTTTCAGCTGCTTTGGTGTTAATGAAAGTTAACAGGTGCACTAGATGAACAACAATGAGACGACCCCCAAAACAGGAAATGTTTTACAGGTGGAGGCCACTGACATGTTTTTTTTCCCTCCTCATCTTTTCTGATTGTTTTTCACTAGTTTTGCATTTGGCTAGGGTGAGTGTTACTACTGGTAGCATGAGGCGATACCTGGACCCTACAGAGGTTGCACAGGCAGTCCAACTCCTACAGGATGGCACATCAATACGTGCCATTGCCAGAAGGTTTGTGCAAGGAGGAACAGGATGAGCACTGCCAGAGCCCTACAAAATGACCTCCAGCAGGCCACTGGTGTGAATGTCTCTGCCCAAACAATCATAA